TCAGCCTGGAGAAGAGAAGGCTCCGGGGAGATCTTATAGCAGCCTTCCAGTCCCTAAAGGGGGCCTACAGGAGAGCTGGGGAAGGACTTTTTACTAGGGCATGTAGTGACAGGACGAGGGGGAATGGCTTTAAACTGGAAGAGGGCAGGTTTAGATTAAACATTAGGAAGAAATTTTTCACTCTGAGGGTGGTGAGACACTGGAAGAGGTTGCCCAGAGAGGTTGTTGAGGCCCCATCCCTGGAGGTGTTCATGGCCAGGCTGGACATGGCCTTGGGCAACCTGGTCTAGTGGGAGGTGTCGCTGCCTATGTCAGGGGGGTTGGAACTCGATGATCTTCAAGGTCCTTTCCAACCTAAACCATTCTATGATTCTATGATTGTCATCCTTAATCACACAGGTCAAAAAGCAGGAAAGAAAAGAGGCATAAGAAATAGATATAAGTTGCCTGTAACAAAGATGGCCTGTGAATTAGGAGAGGTTTCTAAGCAAAAGGAGAGGGTATCAGAAGAGCTTTCTAGTGGGAGCAAAAAACCCTAGGGGGTGTTACAGCAGAACCTTGACCCTTTGTGCATGAGACTACACAATGTAGCTGCATTCAATAACAGGAGACTGGACTTAATGTCCCAGGAGATCCCTTCCAGGCCTAATTATTCGAAGCTTTCCCCCTCCAGTTTTCTCTGTATGTTGCTTTCATATCCATCTCTTGGTGTGTAAATAGTTGCTGTATGGTAATGCTTGGTCTTTTAGGAACTGTTTTTATTTCTCCCTCAGATATGTATGGGTGCATATTCTGAATATACATGCATAAATATGTATTGGAAACCAAAATACTATGAAAATAACGTGATAAATGTAGACTTTGTGCTTGTTCCCCCCTCCCCCTGTGCGCACATGTTTGTACAGGTTTATTATTCACCTTTTAATTACAACATTGTGCACGTTAAATTTGAATCACAGGATGATTTTTCCTTAATTTGCCTTACTAACGTTATGCCTCTGTTGTCAGTTGCTTTTCATGGAAAAAGTTAGGGTTCCTGCTGCCTTGCCCTTAAATTCACACATGCTGATCTGGCTTCTGGACTCGTGTGAAATCTTCAATTAACTTTTTTTTCTAACAGTTGTTCGACTATCTTCTTCCTACATCTTATAATTTTCTTTGACATCTGTCTTGTAGATCACCCATATTTTGTGGGAGTTCAGTTCCACCCAGAGTTTTCCTCAAGACCTATGAAACCTTCTCCTCCGTACCTTGGACTGTTGCTAGCAGCCACTGGGACACTCAATGCGTACCTGCAACGTGGATGTAAATTGTCTCCAAGGTAATCTTTCTTTCTTACTTGCCTGCAGTTTGACAGTCACATTTTTGCGGGGACTGTCCCATCCTTCAACTCAGAAGTCCAGAAGAGGAAAAGGAGTTCTTCATGTATTGATTTACTTGTTCCTGTGCATGCCTAACACAAATCCTGGTGTAAAAATATCTGTAAGCAGCAAGCACAGTTCTTGACTTCCTCCTTTTCAGAAGCTATTAGGGCTAAAGCCAGATCCATACATTATAACCCGAAAGAAGTAAAAAACCTGTAGTAAATTCACGTGAAGTTAGTGGCTTCCTGTGTTAAATTTCATTAACAGTAGTTTCACCGGGAGAGAGATTTCCTAGAGGATTAAACAATGAAGTGAAATTCTTACCTAGTTGTATTTGAATGATGATGTTAACAAAAAAGAAAACACTGATTTTATTTTGCAGTAGCTAAATAATTAATACCATCTAGCAGAGACAGGCCTGAAACAAAACAATTGGGATCTTATGGAAGGGTTTGGATCTAGATCAAAACTGTATGGTTCAGCCAAACTAAAATCCTTTGTCCCAGTTGCCTTGGACACGGAGTTTTTGGTTTGTTGAATGAAGCAATAGCTTTTAGCCAGTGTTAACTCATTCTTGTTTATTTGAATGATATTAGTTACAGTTTCATTACAGTAACAATAATAAAGAGGTCAGAGGGCAGCCTAGGGTACAAAAATGAAAAAATATTTAAAAAATAATCACAGAATGATGACTGAATAATAACACAGAACAGATCCAGCCCTGACTTACTAGCTTTTCCTGTAAACAAGGCTCCAAACTTATTAGTTTTGGTTGGGGTTCTGGGTTTGTTTTTTGAGCATTGCTTTCTATTCTTAAAATTAGGTCCTTTTTTTAAGTGAGAAATAGAAATTTTATTCAGGTTTCAGTAGTAACGGAAAATAGTCAAGCCAGACCAGATCAATCTGTTTTGGTACTCTTGTCCGTATGGGTGTCAGTTATCTTTCATAAACGCACTTCCTCTTTGTTCACCCTGGCCAATTGCACAATGATGTACATACAGAGAATTTCTTTCTGATCTGCAAACTACAGTTTGATTGAAATACTCCTATTAACTTAGCCTGTCATTGTTATTACTGGTCATAACATTACCTTTTAAAATTTGTGCTAGTGCATTACACAAGTCAAATTTTTGTGGTGCTTGGCAGGAGGGGATTCTTCAAGCACAATGTTCTTCAGTCCTTTCCTCTTGTGGGCATTCTCTGCTTCACAGTTCATCTTGTTCCCCAGGTCCCAATATCCTTTTGTTTACTGCTTCCTTTCATAAGTATATCTATTTGTGTCTCTGAGATAAAGAAAAATTACTTTTTTTGAATGAGTGATCTGCATATCTCGCTAATTTAAATGTAAATACCTTAGCCTTACAGCAAATACGTTTTCTAACCTTGACTTTTAAGTTTCAGCAATTACTGAATGTGCCACACTTACACTTATTTGAATTAATATACAATCAATAAAAAAGTGTACCCAGCTCTTTTTCTTCATGTTCATACAGTAAGCTCTAACCAACACTTAGACATTTAGCAGGGACAAAAATTCATACCCCAAAATGTTATATATAAAAATACGAATTTTACCATGTACCTGGTTACACAGCAATCAAGCAAACCCCTTTGTCTTGAGAAAGAGAATTGGAATAGAAAAACATTTGGAGGCTAAAAGAGGAGCATTTTGCAGGGAAGAACATTCAGGAGGGAATTTCAGTGCTAATTACAGCACACCCAATCATATTAACATATCCACCTGCTGAGTGGAAAGGATTTGCAATTTAAACCTTTAAACCCCACAGTGCCAGTGATTTCATTGAACAGCGAAGCTAAGGCGTGTCATAACAAGACTGAAACAAATCTGAGGAGGGGATTTTCTGCTCACCTCATCCACCACTGCCTACATGAGTTGTAGTCACGCTGTTGACTCGAGCAAAGATGTAACCTGAAAGAATTTGTGGAGGCTAGCAAGTTGAGCAGATTACCTAAACTGGGCTATTAAAAACACTAAAAAGAGAGTTGATGATGAAGTCCTGAGACAAAAGGAAATACATATTTCAGCATGAGATTCTTCTCAGGAAATCATTATCCCAGAACATTTAACAGTACTGAAATTAGGATGCAATTTTAGAACATCTGACACCTGGACAGAAGCCCTAGCTTCTAAGCAAAGCAAACAGTAAATTTAAAGATGCATCACACCTGCCGGGAGAGTGCCGTCAATAAATAAAAGTGAATAAACCTTCTCTTAAATTTCTGTGGGGCATAGTCTGGTAGGCAGCCTGAGAATGCTTACACATAGGCATGAGCATACCTCGTTTGAGACTGGAATGCATCCTCTGGGGTAAACTTAGTTCCCAGGAACTAGGTGTGTACAGAAGCAGTTAAGAACTGAGCAAAGGATTGGAGTAACTCAGTGATGAGTTATTCCTTAGCTACCTGGAGTCGTAGTTGGGCATCTAAGTTGCCTTTGTGGTTTCAACCTCTTGTGCTTTATGGCATGAGTGCCCAACCATCAAAGCCATGCACTTCATTTCCTTGTGAATGCTTTTAAATCGTGATCTTTTCCAAATCTTTCCATGGAAATACTGAAGTCACCATTTCATAAGGAGCCGAGGAAGGTGAGAGGCTGCCAGTTTACGCGTTTCATTTTAAAGGACAGAGAGCACTAGAAACACAGGAGGTGCTCAGAAAGTGTACAATACCCACAAATATGCTGCATTTTAAGAGAAACCAAAAGGTTTTAATAGAAAACTAGTGGATAAAGAGAGGAACTTCAGATGTATTGTTGGCTTTTACTGAGTCTTACAGAATTTCACTTGAAAAAAAGTAATAAAAACTGGCTTATCTTTGGGAAAAGTGTCATGTGGATTGCAAAACCACTGATGTACAATAAAGCCATGTTGCTGGTTTTCTTTTTTCCCAGAGCAAGTTTAGCATCAGGAGGCTTTATTTCTTCTTTCTCCTCAACCAACATCTTTATTAATGGCCTGCAACACTAGGCTATGGTGTATTAATGATATTTACAAATAATATAATTCAAAGAGGAGCTGAAAGCACTATTCAGACCAAAGAAATAACATGAAAAGATATAGAGAATTTATAAACCTGAGCTGAAAGTAATGAAGTCTTGTGTTTCTTTGGAAGAGGAGAGTAACAGGCTAAAGATAAATAATTTAAATGCAAATGTCCAGAAGATGGGAGGAAATGTAGGAAGTGAGAGATGTTCCTAGGTGAGAAAGCGGGGGCAACTAGTACTGCTGCCAGAAGAAATTTTTGCAAGTCATTAGTGAATATGCTAATGGAAGGCCATCTAGTCACAGAGTAACCTGTTAAGTTCTGAGCAGGTTATTAATAAAAGGTGACTTATGAATTGTGTTCAGAGACAAGGAACAAAAGTGGCCAGAGGACAGAAGGAGTGGCGCATAAAGAAAAAAACCTCAGAAAGCTTGTCCGTATGGTGCTTACTGCACTAACATAGTCCAGCTGTCTTCCAAACCAGCTGTGTAGGGAGGTTTGGGAAAGAGCCTATGAACAGAACAGTAAACAGCCTGTGTGACATGTTCTGGTGTATGAGGGACAAAGGAGATATGGCCAGCGCTATCTCTGATGTCCCTTATACATTGTCCCCAACCATTAACACATCTGGCACAGCATCATATTTCTGCCATTGGTCAAATCCAGACATTTCAGAGGAAAGTGAAGGAAGTCTTGTGGCTTCAAGACTGTCAAGAGAGCAGCAAGAGAGGGGCTGCTCCATGAAAGAAGGCAATCCAGGAGCCAGGGGTAGCAGCTTTACTAGTAGGGACAGTGTGCTCACTACCTGGAGTCAGTGCCACAGTCGCCAAAGAAGGCAAGTGGACTGGCTCCAGTGACAGTCACCATGTCCTACAGACAGTCCAGTGCAGAAGAGCAAAGTTATGAATCAGGTCTGAGGTCAGTCCAGAAGTCCAGCTGACAAGTGATTACCGAACTACGGAGATGGGTACAGACATGCCTGTGACATAGCTTAGGCAAGGACTCGGGGCCAGGGCTCCTGGGCCCATTGGTGGAGGCCCCAGAAGAGGATGGTCAGGGCAACTAAGACCTATCGGTTCCCTCAGGGCTCTTACAGAAAACTACAGAAAAAGTTTTAGGGGAAGTCCCTTCTCAACCACAGTGGTACTTGGTGATGAACTTAGTAATGGTTAGTTATGGCAGTTACTTTGTCATTTTAATGTTAGATGTTTACAGTGAAGACACTTCTGAGCTAGTCACCCCAAATCTTTTTCTTTAGTTAATATGCACTTCAAAGGAGCCAAATCATAGGAGCTCATGGTAATGGTTGAGTGGGTCAGAAAGAAGCATTATACTCTACAAGTGCCAGTTTCTCTCCATTGACTGTAAGAAGCTGGTGGCAGCTGTCTCAGATGAAGATGTCTAAAGCAATATGAATTGAATCCCATGCATGAGACTCAGCTGGGAGTTTTTATAACGTCCAGATATGTTCTGGTATCTTGGTTGTGATTTTTGTAATGCTGGGTCATAATAAAACCGTTATCCTAGGTCCAGTTATGTGAGTGCAGATGTCTGGCAAGTTGGAACTGCGGAGTCTTAGGAATGTGCTGAGGGATTCCTTAATGAAATGATGTTTCATGGAAGCATGGGATCATATAACGATGGGCATCATAATAAATGATATATGCCAATTTTTATGATCATATAATCATCATAAAAATATGCACTGAGAAATATGGGTGACTGCAATTATAACCATTGCAAAATCAAATATGCATTTACTTTAAATAATGTTTTAATGAGTATAATAATTTTAATCATTCAGCTTTATGGGGGGGGAATAAATAATAGTAATTGACAGGCTGCTTTTTGCTAGGTTCTCGAAAGCTATAACGATTGTTTGTTTTAAACAGCCACAGCCTGTACTAAATGTAATTACATTTATCTTTTAAGTTGCATTGAGGAAGAAATACACTTAGCTTGGCTCCTGCCTTTGCAGGGAATGGCATTATTGTAACAATTGTTTAAATTGCTTACATTTCTGGAAAAGGACTTTTTTTGTCAGTCATACATTAAAAAAGGATGAAAAAAGCCTCTCTGAAACTGTGTCAAATCCTTTGTTTTTAAAAAATGTTGATCTGGATTTTCCAAATGAAACAACCAGAATGTTCAAGGAGTACCCATTTTACAATTGCCTTTGTTTCTTAATAAAAACATTGAAAGCAGGCAGTTTGGTGCTTTTGAGCAGCTGTTTGAGAAATATAGGTTTAAAATTGTTCTTGAGTCTTAATTCTAGTGGTTTTGTATCTGAAAATGGTTGCTGAGGTGATGCATTCCAGCTATGATTCATGCCATGTGGCCCCAGCGATCAGCTGCCTTCCATACCATACCAATAGGGAATCTTCTCATCTTGGCTCTTTCTGTGCTTTAGCCTGATGCATAGCAGAGGTATGATGATGCCTCTGTCAGTAGAACAGAGAGATCTGAAAAGGGCAAGAATTTGGAAGTAATGGAGCACACGCAGGGGAAAGCGCTTTTTATTGCTTACTCTTGAGAAGACAGGGATCTGAGGATGACTGAACTTCAAAACAAAACAAAACCCCGTAATGTAATTTCACAACAGAGGATGGTTTCCTTGCCCCAATTGGGAAATATGTTGCAGTTCACTGCAAAGTGAGACACCAGTTTGGTACTGGTTGATGTTTCACTTTGCAGTGAACGTATTTCCATTAACTGCAGGTAGATTTGGTGTAAGGATCAAAGTGACCAAAATTCTTCATCTTGAAGACTGAAGTGACTGACTAGATGCAGTCACATTGCATACTCTTGCGTTTTGTTCTGTTTTTCTCTTGTCCACATTTTTGTACTCCAGATCCCATGAAAAAAAAAAAAGACAGAACAGAACCACTGTGGTGGCCATAGATCTGCTCCTTAGATCCTTTTGATTGGAGCCCGCTGTTGTGGGAGTGGTTGCAAACAAGATGAAGTGGGTGTCAGGTTCCTGCCTGAGATAGTTACTAATTAATTTGTACACAAACTGAGAGAAAACTTGCTGAAGGAAATGTAAGCATATTTTTTCAGTTGAGGGCTCAGTGTGAAAAAGAATTTAATAAAGTAAAAGCCGGGCTTATTTGCTTTTCCACCACCACTGCTTCCATAGCCAGCACATTTAAGTATGGTTACATAATATTAGCAACTATAAGCACAAAATATCCATTTGGGGTTTGTGTTTCATATCTGTGGAACAACTCAGTGTAATTTAGAAGGAAGTACCTATTTATTCTGAAGAGAGGTGATGACTCATTTGTGGTTAATACCACCTTGAGGTTTTTTTTTCAGATTGCTCATCAATTACTTATCAATTGAGTTCAAATCACAGTAAATCTTACAAACTGGACATCAGCACTGGTTTGAAGCTGTAGCACCCAGATGCAGATATGCCAAGACTCATGATTCCCTTTTTGCTTTCAAGGGCCACTGGCAGCTTAACTCTTGCAGAAGTTCAGGTTTCCTTGGAGCCCAAGTTCTTCCTGGTAATGTGATGCCACAGCTTCTGGGGGTGCTTAGAGATATCATTCCAGCAGCTGAAACTGTGAGACTGACAGTTACCTGAGTCTGAAGCCCAAGGGCTGACCCTTACTTGGATATTTCCCCTACCTCTCTTGCCACTGTGCCCTGCCTGTTAGAGATAAAACTGAGTTACACCCAGCAGGACAGCCCTAAAGTAGGGGAGACCATGAGGTGCTCCTGCAAAACAGTCAAGAATGCAGTGACAAGGGCCCTACTTTGGGGTGTGGAGTCAAACCTTGTGCTGAACTGGGCAGTGTGGAAACAGGAACAGAATTGTCATTGGCTGAGTAAGAGTTTTAGCCCCTGGGCTAGTGGCTAGCCCAGTGACCCTCAGCTGCTGCAAACTGGAAACAGGCCTGAGAAGTTGGGGTGGTAAGTCAATGAAATGACGGAAGCAGCCAGCGTTGTGTGACTGCTTCTATGGGCGATTGCCTCTGAAACCCATGTCATTGGGTGGGGGAGGACCGATGATGAGCGTGCTGGGTGGGGATCAGCGCCTAACTGTCTTCAAGAGATGAAGCTGGCCACTTCTCCACTCATTGGCCCCTGGGCATTTTTACTTAAGCATTTGTCTCCCGTACTGTGTTGCACATGGAGCTCTGGCATATGCTTTTGGGCTGTGACTGCCACTTAAACCAGGGCTATCATGAGATTACGCGGCACTCTGCAATCACAGTTTTACCCTCTGTTCTGTGGGCAATGTTTGCTGTTTTGCTGTGATGTGAAAATGCAGAACTGTTTTAATAATACTGAATTTTTATTCCATGTTTCCATGGGTACTTTCAGAAAGAAGTAAGTACAACGTCGGTGATGTTGTGTTTGTCTGTGTGCATCTGGCATGCTTGATCATACTCTTTAACACTTTCCTCACTTGAACTGTGTAATTGTTTGCCAGCTGGTGAAATGATCAAAGTGAGCATTTCTCACTAGCCTGATATGACACGTTCTTTATAAGAACCGCATCAACAACTTGCATGTCATGTAAGGAAAGGGCAGAATGCTGTAGGCAAAGCCTGAATGTTAGAACACTCGGAATATCTATGCTGCCTTGCACAGAATTTGGTACAGTGATTTGCTGTAACTGTGGGAGCCTTTCCCAACAGTCAGAGGTAGAAATTAAATGAGGTGACTGTTGGTGCCGCTCCTCCTGTCCCACTCTATTAAATGGCTGTGTTTTTACTTAATCTTTGATTATTTTTTTTTTTTCTCAAAGAGAGGGTGAAACACTGTCGACAAAGCAGTGCTCAGTAGCAAGCACCAGTGTAACTGGGCGCAGTTTGTTCACTGTTCCACATGGCAGTCTAGATCAAAGATCTCCAGCTGTGGGGTTACATAGTTCCCCTTGAAACATTCCACAGCAGGCAGTCACTGCGGCTCAACCGATAAGGCTGTGTCTGGGTGGGTCATGGGCTGGTTGTGTGCTTGATGTCTCAGTGGGAGATCCTGCCCTCAGGTGGGGAGCGTGACGTGACTGAGGTCCTGATGGCTGGAGGATGCAGGTGTATGTGATGAGTAGGTGTGACAAGAGAGGCGTGCAGTGGCTGGAGTAGAGTTGGTACCCAGGGCTGCCACTGCTGTACCCACACAAACGAGGTCTGAGGTCCCCACCTGTCCTCTGTTAACCGTACCCCGCGCCCCGATGTGCCACAGAACTGACCAGAGGTCTGAGGTCCCCACCTGTCCTCTGTTAACCGTACCCCGCGCCCCGATGTGCCACAGAACTGACCAGAATTATTGCCGCTCAAATGTACTTGTCAGTTCCCTGGGCTCCCTTTGCTGGCTTCTCACCTTGGGAAATTCAAGTATCTGGAAAACAGACTGTAGAAGTGAAGTGTAGTAGGGGGAGGATGAGGCTGGAGGTTGTTTTGAAGAGGTGCACTTAGAGTTAAGATAAACCTAGAGACCCGATAGGCATCACAGCTGACTGAAAATGCGGTTTGTGGGCACTTCTTTCTCTCAGTTGCTGTGGTGATTCCTGTCCTTCACTGTTTACTTGTTCTGGCCACTTATAAAATGGTCACTTGCATGGCAGCTTGTTCTGTGAAAACCAGTCTACTCTCAGAAAACAGCAGAAGGGGATAAAACCTCAGAAAAAACTGCCAGGATATTGGTTGGTGCAATGAAAATGATTTATGTTCTGACTGAAAGAGCAAAAATTTGTAGAATTAAATTTAAGTTAAGAATAAATTGAAGCATTCTGTTTAAATGAAGTTGTCTTAACTTTTTCTTTGGTCAAAACAGTAATTTTCTTTATCGTAAAGGAGAAATTCCTTTTAGTCTTCCTCTGAATACCTGTTATTCTCCTTGTTGTTGATCATGGTTGCAGGCACACAGCACCAGCAAACTATAGAATGAATGTACATGATCCAAGCGAAAAGAAATGGAACATACTGTTTATATGGTGGAATATTTTTTCTCATCAGTTCTTAGACTCCAAACTTAAGCCCAATCCTGTAGAGGAAGGCGTTCTAAAATATTCAAATTGAGCATGAGCTTAAAGTAGTTTTCTGGAAATCGGCTGCATTTGAGGAAAGTGTTTGTCATATGCATCACCTGGGTTGGAGGGTTGGAAATACAATACTTGTATTTCCTTCTGACTGCATATTGCTTTTAACAGTGACAGCTACAGTGACCTCAGCGATGACAACTCTCCAGCGAAAGAGTTCCCTAATTCAGAAATGAGCTGAAATGATTGTGTGAGATCACAGAAATGGATGATGCTATTGAGGTAAACAGAATCATTTTGATACTGCTTTATGACATTTATTTCTTCTAGACTTGAAACAGGAGACAAAGTTATCTTGATTCTCCCTTTTGTTTCAAATCCCATCTGAGAGCTTATGTTTTCTTCCTTGCCTGCAGCACTTAATTGTTTTCCTCTTCTGCTGCTTAACTCTGCAATTGTTGTATTAAAGTCTGCTAAGTGTTTTGGGTACAGCTTATATGTAGGATGCTGTACAAAATCGTTTTGTTTTTGTTTGAAGATACAATGAAAATACATTTTTAGGTTATGTTTTCTTTTTTTGTTACTTCAGTTTGCAGGTTTGGATCACTTCAAATACACCATGTTGACATGACTTTTTGTTTTGCATTCATATTCACCTGTAATTGCATTTTATGCATTGATATAACAAAGACATCTCAAAATAAATACTTGGATTGAATCCTCAGAGTGATAAGAGATACAAACACGTTTTATCAAATCGTAGCTTTGTTTGCCATAGGCTTTGCCAAAGTGATGTTGGATTGGTTGTTTTTTCACCTGTAAACATGGTAGTCATAGATTTCCTTTCAGTTTGGAGGTTATATTTCCTGTGAGACACCTGAT